GCTGGTTCCAACCCAGACATCTGGCATCATAAAATGACCCCGTTCAACATGGCTGGCCAATGGCCCAATAGCAAGCCCAACCTACCATGGGCCGCGAGGATGGCTGCTCACCGCTGGGCCCGCCTTTCTCCCCTGCCTAGGGTTATTGCCATTGAATTTCCTTCAAAGCACGGAGAGCGCAAAGCGATGCTCTCCTCGAGCTCCCCATTTGGGTTCTAAGCACGCCGTTGCATCGCATCAACTCCCGTCTCTCCGTTCTCGACGGGAGCCGCAGCGTCGGCACCTGCTTCGTTTAGGCATTAGCTGACCCTAATATTATTTCCAATCCTTGTTCCATTAACCCCCAGTGCATCACCTTCTCATGTCAAAAGGAAGGTGTTATTAGTCGAACTGAAAGGGCGGAGATGGAAGCTAAACTGACTTCGGTAAGGTACCTGTAGGTAGGTAGCTTTAGTTACATGTATCTACGGAGGTACCTGGGTATATGTAGGTACCTAAATACCTTGCCTAACGTCTCGCTGTATATAGACGAGCACGCCTCCTTCATGAAGTTACCGACCGTACCAGCAAGGCGGTGATCAAAACTTAGACAATGGCGATGCGGTGGCCGCGTCTAGCATCATCAAATCATCTCAGCAAACGTCCTGGCGTGAACGCGACGAGGAAGCGCTACTCGCCATCATCACATCATTCTAGCACAGCCGAGCATGGACGCTGCTCGAAGGTCATAAGTCTTTCAACATCTAACTATCTGGTTTTACCGCAAGGGTACCTAGGTACTTAGACGGCACATCGACCTGCGGCAGAGGCTGGAGCGCGTGCGCATATCAGAACACAAGTAAGGCGCCTCCATAGGTCTGGGCCGGCCTTCCTGGGTTCGAGGCACATATAGCCGACGGCTTGACAACCGAGGCGGCCGGTATCCTACGTTACTTCCGGGGCTAATGGTGCGTCCGCCATGGCCAAGCTTTGGGCACTGACGCGTTAAACTTTGATCTGAGCATCCGCGAGGGCGAAAAGGAGGAGATGCAAACCAAGGATGGCCGTCCTGAGGCACAGCGTTTGTCGTTCTGGTGGAGATGCGGTTGACCATCATGTTTGAGGTGAAAACTCCCAAGCTGGGTGTCTAAGGTCATTCTCGCGCAGCCAGTGTTCAAAAGCGACCAAGAACATCCCGAGAAGATGAACAATGTCATTGTAATAACGAGGTCGTGCTCGCAGTGATTCGCGTGCAGGGATAATGATGTGGACTGGAGCCACTTTGGCATTGGGAACCCGGGCATGCTGCAGTCGAAGGAGAGGAAGGAGAGGAAGGAGTTGGAATTCGGATCTGACATACTGACGCCGAGCATTGGATTTGATGCAGCAGTTGGCTATCGAAAGACTGGACGCGGGGAACAAGACAAGATAGGTAATTTGAGAGTGTACTGGTGTTGTTGGTATTTGATGCATATTGAATTTGAGGGGACTTCTTTTTTCTTTTCTTTTTTCCGCCCCATATGGTGCCTGACTCGCTACCTAATTTACATGCAATAACTACCTTAATATAAACCATGACTTGGAAGGAATATCTGCCAATATTTTCAGCTCTTACCAATGCCGGATAAAAGATTCTCCGTCGAAGGATCGATTAGGTTACCTGCTGTTGATCGCTGCGAGGTTCGTTTGTTGCCTGGCTGCGCGAGCTCAAGTTTCGCGACTCGGCGACAAGCCACCATTTGTTTTGTTTCCTTCTCTCTGCCCCTGAAAATTGCCGCCCCCCTTCCCCCCACTGTGGGAGAGCTTGCACTCCACTTGGGCGACTGACGTCACGGAAATTAGCGATGGACAACATCTTCTCCAGCGATGATGCCCGCTTTGGCGCTCTTGGCATCCCGCCCTTCTTCAACGTACCGGCACTGCCAACCATTGTGGCCGAATGGGCCGCCATCCTCCCCCTAGTCTCTCACCTCGCTAGCTATCGTGATGATTACGCCATCGCTGGCAGGGTCGCCCTCAAGGGAAAAGTCGCGATTAGCGTCTTTCCGAAACTCGGCACTCTGTCTGGCCTCTCCCGTCTGTTGCGGAACCCCCGCAAATTCCTCGACCACGCGAGCGCGCGTGGGGGGACGAGCCGCAGCGTCTGGGATGTCCGATACGGCAGCTCGTTTCCTTGCAGCAACGGCGCTGCCATCGATCTGCTCATCGACTATCTCCAGTCGCGCAGGCCGCCCAAAACCATCAAGATGCCAGAGAAAATGGACGATGACCCGGCCATCACGGGGCTTCATACCAAGGAAAAGGCCGATGCTCGCCACTTCCGCCGTTACCAGACCCTACGCGTCTTGAGCTGCATCCGCGGTCCGCGTCCGGCCCCCCGGTTGCTACCCAAGTATTCCACAACTATCATATATCTGCTCTATGCAATTTGCGCGCTTGGTTGTACTGCCGTCCTCGCTCTCAGCGGGGCATACGGCACCACAGCTGTGCTCTTGTGTGCGACGTTCTCCAACATCGCCGCAAGTTTAATCGTAACCGTCGCTCGCCCCCCCGGATACCTAGAGCACCACAATCCCGGGCCCACGGGGTTCATGCTTGCCGCTCCAAACCACAACGCGCTCGAGTGGGACCTTTTTATCGGTGATCGCGGCGTTGTTGACTCCCTTATGAACAAGAGCCTATTCTGGATCCCCCAGACCCGCGGGACAACCTGGTTCGGACGCTGGCTGCAGATCGGCGACACGCTGCAGCTGGCTGCCATGACATTCACGGCGGCCCAGAAGGGATGGGATGGCGTGTGCATGGCGGGCTTGCTCTTTGTCACTTGGATCATCGAGGTTTACAACGGTCGCGACACAAACCTCGTGCATGATTGGTTGCGTCAGGAGAGCGTTGTCGTCGAGATGAAAGAGTTTGAATTTAGCGGGCGGTTCAACATGTTGGGGACCATCCAGCTCCTGACCAAGACCGAGGTAACTTCGTGGATGGATGACATTTTGGCACCGCACCCGAGAAGGGAGGCGTGGCTAAGACGACTTATTCACAATGAGAAGCCTGACCCGGAAATATGGAATCCTAGCGATATTGAGAGGATCGAAGTCGGTGCTGGTCTGTGTGCGAAGATGGCAGGAATCATTCAGCGCGAGTTTGCGCCAACCCCTGGGGTTTAAGGTAATGAATAATAATCCGCGTATCTAGTCAGACCTCCTAGAGTACCTCGCATAGCTTGACACTTGGGAGCGATGGATACTACACTAAACCGGGAGGTTCCCGAAGATATCCGAAACGCTTAGCAGTCATTTGTGAATAAGAAAAGACAAGCCAATCTTCTCACTCAACCTCAGCTTGCAACTGGAATCATGAGGCAGAGATTCATGGAGGATTCGAAACTATTTTCATCTAGTTATACATATTTGATAAGCAGAAGCAAACGCGGGAGAGAATAACCCCAATAACGACAACGACAGTCGTTGCAGCAGGCCGCGCTGCTTCGACGCTGTTGCTCTACAGTCTGTGGGTATTCTCGATAATATTGACGGATAGGTATGTATTCATTGAAGCCACTAGTCTGGATCCCCCTTTCACCCACCCAGCCACTCCGCCCCCACCCAGAAACCAGCGGCAAAAGGCGGGATCGCCTGGGCTAACCAACCTCGAGGAACTTTATCGCGCTGTGCTATGGTCATTCAGCTGACGCGCCCATAGCCGGGTCCTCCATCTTAGACCCCCAGCTCCGCACCGCGTTCTCTTTGCCTGGGTACGGTGCTAGGCCGCCGGCGGAGTCGCGTGCGAGTCACCCCTAGTAGATTAGCGCGGCAGAACTCCAATGGCAGAGGATCACGACAACATGAGATGGCTGAGCTGGAGGGTTGTGAGCTTATCAGGGCGTCATCCGCAGTCTGCCCACGTTTGGGCGGCAGGAGCGTGGAGGCGCGAAGACTGGAAGAGGCGTTGAGCCAAGTCGTTCTAGACTAGGTGATGGCTTTGGGTACGGCCCGTGGCAACCTGTTGATGTGATTCGTTTGTACAAGGCCCTGGCCTCCTGTTCTGTCTGTTATCGATTCCCTCACCTGTTTCGATGTGCGTAGAGCAAGTATATGTGGTGATGGTCCCTGGGAGCTTTACCTGCCGGCGGGCCATGTCGGCTTTGCCTAGGTACCTTTAGTGAGTCCTACTTGGCAAAAAATAAGCAAGCCTCGGTTCCACACACTCTGACTTAGTTCGGGAGCTCATTTGATATTTAAATTGTCAAAGGTGCTAAGACTTGCGTGTTCAGCGGCTCATTTCACATTCCATTGTTCTGGCCGTTTCATGTCCAGACCCTCCGTTTTAACATTGAACGCTTAGAGGTAGCCTTTGAAGGTATTCTGGCCCCTGGTCAACACCCCTTTTTGCCGACTACATAGCATGACGGTGATCCATGATTCCACTAGTTTCGTTCCATTCGTCATTCGTATTCCTGCTATCAGTTCTCCGCCGCTCCCTTCATTACATGTACGTTGCGGTGGCTATGGATTCAACATGGGATAACGTCAATGCGGCAACTTTCTTCAAACATACGAGATTTTGCCTGTTTTACTTACCCTAGAACCACCTCTTTAACCTCAAAAGGCGGCAGCTCCAAGCCTACGTCACCCCAATCCAGCACTCCCAACCAAGTCCACGGCGCATCCTTGGGACCATATTTCCGTCCACAGATCACAAAAAGCGGGCCTTGGGAGGGTCCTTTATAAACACTCGCAAGGGCGAATGCCGGACCCGCGCCAGCTTCTTCCCCTCTGTTTACCTGGTTCGATTCTTCAGTCTCCTGCAGGGGCTGAAGCAGGATCGCCTCCGAAAATCTCTCGATGCTATCGGGTAGGATAGTATGAAGAGGCCGTGAGGAACTATTCGAGATGGGCGCGCCACCATTACGCGTCATGAACAGTGGATAAACACCCCAGAATGCGCGGAGCTTTAAACGCCTTGTGTCCTTGGGATCAGACTCGATTGTGCCGATTCGCGACAGATTTCCGTCGTAAGGTGGGTATTGACTCCAGTTGTTCCTGCTCTGAGCGTCGGGAGCAGTAATGAAAGTCCCTGGCTGACTCGGCGCCCATGAAGCTCCATTTTGATCCAGCCTGGGAACACTCGAGAGCAAGTACCCCGTATATACGGTTCGGTCCGATACCATCCGATCTTTTTCGCGGGACACTTCAGTCCACAACTTGAGAGCGTTGTTGAACGGATCATCCCCGACTAGCAAGCTCCATATGACTACATCGTCCCCGGGACGCGAGGCGAACCTCTGCGCGAGCAGCGTCGCCGCTTCGGATACCGAGAGGAACCCAGCCCCAATACGTGAGGCCATTAGTTGTGCGCCGTGCGACCCACTGAATACCCCCCTATGCTGGAGACGATCAACCCTTTCCATGCTGGGTTCTGAGCGGCCGTCGGTGTTCAATTTGAGCCAGTTGAAGCTGCTGGGGGCGGGAAAGAGGTGATAGTTCATGAGGAAGAGAATTCCGATGTTGATAGATCCGTGCAGGGTTACGGATCGGAGAATCTCCCTTAAAGAGATTGCTCTGTTTTGCCCCCCGGACGTCACTAAAATGTGCATGTTCATTCGTCCACGCAGTGCTTCCAGCAGTGTCCAGGCCCGAACATTCCAGTCGCAAACGAGAAGAGTGCAGAGAATGGATTCCATGAGAGACACGCTCTCGCAGGAGGAGTCATCTTCGCTTTTGATGACGGAGGTGTCAATGCACATGAGGTCTCTGTCGCACAGTAGGACTGCGCGGCTGTTTCGGAAAACGTTGTTGATGTTCATAATCGCCTCCTTCCGGAGGTTGTGATCGGTCGGGATGCCTACCATACTCGAAAGATGACTATTAGCTTCAATCTCGGGAAAAGATGTGGATAAGCCAAAAACAGGGGCAAGCACTTGCAAGTGACGTCGATCCAGTAACTCGAGCAGCCAAAACTTCGAGCGATTTCGCAATATCTGAGGTGAAGGCATTCATTAATGCCCGAATCCGGCCGACCGCCCTGGCCGTGGCTCCACACATGAGAGACGGCGAGGGTGTTTTCCGAAGCGACTTCGTATTTCAGCTTGTTCTGGACTTCATCGCAGCTGGGTATAGAAACAGCACGGGCGCCGACCACTTGGAGGTAAGACGACTCGTCCCATATGATCTGTCTGCATTTCTTCTCATCTGGACACAATAGGTCGTGTTGGCTCTGATCGTCGATTTTTGCACCTTTAATTCTCCGGCAAGCGTTAGGAGACGTCCCGTCGCAAGAAGCAGTGCCGTTGCATCTCCCCTGCCTCTCTTTGAACTGGTCGCTGAACACGGTATGGAACTGCCGCAGATCCAGCACTGCTGTCGACCTGCTCCTGCGAAGAATGTGGTAGGCTAGACTGCACATATATTCCGATTTGAGCTCGGTTTGTTTCTCTGAGGCCGTAACAGAGTCGGTGTTTGGGCGAAGGGCCAAGTCGCTGAGACTTGTGTAATCAAATCCCCAAACAACTTGATCTTGCAGGATTCGCCTAAGAACGAGGGCACCAGTCAGTGAAGGGGCCCTATAGCGGGGGAGGGACTATAGTTACCAGTAGTGCAAGGCGACGCATCGCTGCCAAGTGCTCCACAAGTAACTCCTGACGATAAACCACCTCCATGACTGGAATTCTAACTCGGGCCTTAACTTCCGGGATTCATAAGAGGTCGAGTCGATGAGCTCAGAAAGGAAATCCAGAAATTCCCGGAACTTGTGTGACTCCCGACCTCGCATGTTTTGCTCCCGACTTCTATCCCATGTGGCCGCGATGGCCAGCGCCATGCGGATTACACAAGTCGACAAGAGGCGAACGGGCTCCAGGTCCTCCCACAAATATTCGTCTCCCTCAATCTTCAGCCATCCATGTTTGCCGCGATCCTGGGGAGGCTTCGGCAAATCCGGCAGCGGCAGCGGCGTGGTGGGCAAGCGTGAAAGAAGACAAGATGCACGACTAACAATCAACTTTGTGTCCGCCTCCGAACCCTGAGCCAGGAAGGAACAGGGTGCAATTTCCGAAAATGCATTATCAAGATCGGCGAAACAACATGTGGACGCCGTTCTCCTAAACAGAGAGTTCCTGAAGAAGAAGGCCGGTCGGCTGGACGGATCGATTGGCGAGGGCTGTCCAGGAAATACGACCCTCGGAAAATTGTGACGGGGTGGCATCACGTTGACCTGTTGTCGTGGCATGTCACGTTCCCTGAACCAGTACCCGTCGAGGTCGATCTCGCTGACTGGCTTCAACATGAAAGCAAAGGTGCTGATGGGGGGGTCGCCAGGACTTGGCGGGTCCTGTTTGTCCTGGCACCCCCTCCACACTCCGAGGATCTGGTCTCCGGTGAAGGACATCACTACATCCGGGATATCCTGTTTTCTCAGCCCAGCCACCTGCCTTCGGGGAAGCGAGAAAAACAGATAGAGAGACAGAGAAATCGATCGAAGGGACCGGGGGTGGACGAATGGATGGATGGATGCCCCGTATGGTCTGCGGAACCGAGGGCGGTGGATTGCGTGTTGCCTGGAGAGCGGGTGTCCGACACATATGTAGGCAGCCTAACTCGGCCCAACCATCAGGACTGGCGGATAATAATTCTTCCCACTCCAACTCTTCCAAGGCATCTCATAGGGTGCATGTGACATCTCCCAATGATATCTAGAAGAATAATTCCCAAGTACCTCAAGCCTGTCTGCAGCCTCCGAGACGTTTTTACCGTCAAGCCTTATCGACGCCGATATCTGCGACTATGGCAGGTATCAATGGCAGGCAATGATGCGCAACCCAGCGCCGACATCGAGAGCGGCGATCCCCTCGAGTTTCCCAAGCGTCCACGACTCCACATCGCGGACATCGCAACGCCGCTAAGAGGGCAACACAAAATGTCAATCACATAAAAGTTACGGATATAAAAAAACGTCCCTAGGTCTCCCAAGATAAGCACCGTAGTCTCCAGTTTAGTATACCTCGTCGGCTGTTACCTGTAGAGATAGGAGTCTCTATCTTCCTGGATAACGAGCATATCGCCAGGTTCCAGCCCGGCGGGGATGTGTTAGGAAAACTCCTAGCCCTTCGGTTAGGTACTCTTGAGCTGGCGCCGGAGCCAGAGCCAGAGACCAACCTGAAACTACCTACGTATTATCATGATCCTCAAAAGCCACGGGTGGCCTTCTCTTCCGATTGCACAGGGTTCTAATGGTGTGGATAAATTCAGGCAGCAAGCTGCAGCAGGTAAGGTACATGTAGCTTCGCCAAATAAGTGAAATATCCAGGAATGGCGCCAATGGTCCTGGGGCCACTTGCGAAGAATACACGTGGTGATACTGGATTAGGGATGTCATCAAATTCAGCTTTGGTCATCGTGCACCATCACTTCGCTAACAGTAGTGAACTTGAATCTATATAGGGCCCGATCGTTCATTACAATCGTAATTATACACCATTGATTTTATTATTTTAGCTAAATAGGTACCTATTGAATCCGCCAAGTGCAGCACGACCTCTTTTAACCCTAAAACTATGTCTAGGGAGGCACTTATGGTCCGACTAGCGGTTACCCAACGCTACATGTACACATAGTAGCTACCGAATGCTATTCAAGTCCGGGTTGTTAGAGTGAGATGATGCGGTATTATACTTTACACCGACCCATTTCCACTATCACTTTGCTTCGGTGGCTCTCGAAGCAGGATTTGCAATCTTGATCTCCTTCGTCCTTCAAATGTTTGACCCCTTTGTATCGGACGCCGCGGTGTTACTCGGCTTTTAAATAAAAAGGGCACTACATGTACATGTGTACAAATCTGAATGCTTTGTAGAAATCCTTCTGGGCCCTCGGTCATGTCTACCGCGGCTATCAACTTCCAAAATAATACAATCATGTGGTTGATGTGACCGGGAAGTCAACAGGATAATAGCATGCTTGTCTCGGCCTCGGGAGGCGGCTGTGTCGGTTTCCGCGGTTTGGATGGGCTGGGCTGGCGAGAGCATAAAGGTTTGGTGTGACGAACCTACTCCAGAACCCCGTCCTGTTAGGGTTCAGCTTCGGTCGAAGGTAATCTTGCAAAGGGTGCACAACAAAGACTTGTCTCAACAGTAGGCTCTCGAGCTTGTAGCGAACTGTAGTTGTGATTGCTAACTGGAGAACTCCCAGAGCTCTCCAGACGAGTGACTATATACTACCCAGATCTCTAGGTACCTTCGTACCTGAATACCCTGATCGTGGGTGTCATGGGTGATCGTTCACGATCACCTTGATCGCTGCCGGTCAAGTCTTTTCCCAGCGATAATCCGGACAGCCTTGCTGTCCGGGTTCTTTTCCCTGATTGGCTACCTTAACGATTGTTTCGCTGCGGGTTGCGCCTTGCGCTCCCCCGCTCTCCTTATTCGTGACATTTGGTGACATGATGACCGAGCTGGGCTCTGCGTTGTGGGTCGGTCTGGCAACGCAGAACTGGCTTCGTCTGCGCGGATGCTTAGCATCGTTTGGGGCCGTCTTGTTTACAATTTACCCGCGCGTGGTCATGGTTTGTCAGGCATGTCAGGCTGGCATTTGTTGGTTCTGCACAATGATCCGCCGGCCAAGTTGCTTGGCTCCTGCGGCTTGGTTGATGCTTTGGGCCTCTGCCGGTGTCGATCAGCGGGACTTCTAATCTACACTCGACATGTCTTCTTGGGTCCGGATCGGTGCGCCGAAACGTGTCTGGTTAAGATCAGAGGCTACATCCCCACTTGTGGTGGTTTAGTATTTGGTGCTTGTCCTAGGGATGGTAGATTTTGCACTTTTACTCCTACAATCGTAGCACCAAATCAAACATCATGGCTTCAGGTCCCAAGCACCAACGGGCTCTCGGGATTGTGACTCTGCTACCCTGCTTATTTCAGGTTGTGTTGGGTCATGGCTCACTTCACGAATACGGCTCAGTCCCGCTTACATTGAGGCCGGTAGCCGTTGACGTGACATGCCCCTTACCAGTGGACGACAATGCGGTTCAGAGCTCACCATGGACGCACCCACCAGAATGCGAGCACACAACTGACGGCACCGTGAAGTACTGCGCCTACACCAACTCAAACCACGGTCCCCGCGGATGGAGCATCATCACTACCCCGGAGACCGCGGCCAACAGCGCCTCCTTCCTTACCCAGCAGCTGAATGTATCGAGCTCGCGTGATGCGCCATACAAGATGGTCGACATCCCCGGCAAGGGCAAGGGTATCGTCGCCACGAGGCCTATCAAGCAGTACGAGGAAATCCTCGTCGAGCACGCGGCCATGTTAGTGGACATCGCCTTCACAGTGAAGGTCCAGGCCACCCGGGGCTACCGGCTCTTGCACGCGGCCGTCGACCGGTTGTCGGACCCGGTCAGTGTCTTGGAGCTGGGCAAAAGCAACGGATTGGCGCAGGACGAGGTGGAGAATATCCTCCGGACTAATGCTTTCAACACGCCTATGGAAGGGGTGCCGCACCTTGCGTTGTACCCGACTGTTTCGGTGGGTGCCCTTATGCGTTGATGACTGGCAAGCTGGAAAATGGGGCTGACCTGTCGGCAGAGAATCAACCACGGCTGTAACCCAAAGTGAGTATCGCGCTTATTTGCCGTACTCGCCCAAAGACGACCCAAGCTAACACACTACCAGCGCAAACACGCGGCCCATGCCCGAAACCCTCCAAATCAGCATAATCGCCTCCAGAGATATTGCCGCCGGCGAGGAAATCACCCACAGCTGTAAGCCGCCATCCTCTTTCCTTGACCCCCTTAACCCACCGCCCACCACCCCCCCAACAAGACAACACAGTTGAACACACTAACCCCCCCACTCCTCAAAACAGACCTCCCCCTCGGTCTCACCTCCACCGAACGCGCCCTCAAACTCCACCGCCAATGGAACTTCACCTGCACATGCCCCCTCTGCGCCTCCCCACCCGCCACCCTCGCCGCGTCCGACACGCTCCGCCGCTCCGTCTCCCGCCTCCGCAAGGAAGCCATCGCGGCCTTCCAGGCCGGCAAGCCGTACGCGGCGCTGCGGCTGACGCGGCAGGTGGCGGGGCTGTTGGAGGAGGCCCCGGAGGGGGAGTTGCGGCCGTTGCTGGGGGAGCAGTACGAGAATATGGCGAGGGTGTGGTTTGTGTTGAGGGATAGGGGGGAGGCAGAGAGGTGGGGGCGGAGGGCGTTGGAGGTGTTGGATGGGCCGGGGGGGGCGGGGGAGAGGGAGTTGGAGGGGTTGTGGAGGCGGTTTGAGGAGGAGGAGGGGGGACGGTATTGAGACGGGAGGGGGGTTGTTGGGTGGGTCGGGGTTGGGGGAGGTGGTGATGACGGGTGAGTTGGGGTGGGATACGAGGTGGGACGGAGTATGTGTTGAAACTGGGACTTGGGAACGTGTCTTGCTATGTAGCAATTTGAGTATATCGGGACTGACTGGTCTGGGGGAGAACAAACGCTGGAATTACATGCTGTGTTGTTATTTGTCAAATGTATATGGGTGGTAGCCAAGTAAGGAGGCAGACAGGTACGGATTAAGTCTACTGTTGTTCAAGTCAATTCCTTGCTCGCCCCTATTACTAGCAAGAAGATAGGACATACCTCCATCTAACACATAACAAGAATTGACCTGAACAGGGGAAATGCTCCGAGGCATCTTGTACTAACCCCTCCTAGACATATCCAATATCCCCGGATGTGCCAAGGTGTCGAGGTCCAGCACGCGACAATGGTCGGATTTAAGATGCGGTCCATCGACTCAAATTCTCGGCAGCAACCGCCATGGAAGGATTCCGTTTGTTGATAATGCTACGGCAGGGGTCGTGGGAGGGGTCTCTGGTGTACCTCGACTTGTATCTAACATTTGGGGTTTCCTTCGTGTGACCTGGACCAAATTACCTGTAAGCCAGCATCCTGCGCAATCACGGCTGCGAGGGTCTGCTTGATGTGCGCAATGTTGCTTGTCAAGGCGGAGAGGTCCGGAAACGTTCCAAAACATCGGTTCAACTCAGCATAGGTACCCATCGGAGGATCAATACAACGGGGACGACAAGACTAGAATGCGCCGTTAAACATGCGTTCAACAGTGCTGGAATCCTTCGGGCGTGCGGGTTGATCCTTCGGCCCCCGCTCAACCCCAACGTCGGAACAACTCATGTGGGGTGAGAGACACCCAATGGAATTGATGACGGGGAAAGAATTCGATGCCAAATGGAAAGCTGGCGGACATGTGACCGAAATCAGAAAGGATTCCCTTCGCCATGCCCCTTGGCAATGTCTGAGCATGCCTGAGCATGTCTGAATCCTTCACCGAAGCCATTGTTGATTGATGTATTGCTTGGATTCTTGTTCTGGGGTAATGCGAAGAAGAAAAACAGAAAAGTTGGGGAAAAGTCTGAGGAGACGCTGCGGTACTGGCACTGTGCCTGCGCCGTGCAAATATTTGTTGTAGCAGACCTCGAGGTACAGTACCTCCCTAATTCTGTCTCATGCAGCTCGAGAGTGCCCGCCGCCTTCACGCATGCAAGGTTCCCGAGAAAAACAGATTGAACTCTTTCCTCATCCTAATTCACTTCTAATCCTCTCCCTCAAATTTTGGAGACGGGAAACTCCGAACCCCCCCAACACAACACAAGTTCTTGACTTCCACTCATTTACTGGCCGAGGGCCCGTTCCCATCCCCGGAGTGGGGCCGTCTCCGTAACAACCGCAACTGGCGCCGGTGACGGATGTTGCGACAGAGCCCACAGAACCCAACATCGACTGAACAAGCCGCCGTTATAGTAGGTCAGTGGGCCAACAAGAAGTGGAACACGAGAGATAAGAGGGCCCCAGGCATGAAGTTAAAAACCGGCGAGGTGGTGGAACCAGCCTTGCAGGTCACAAGTGCGGCACTGCGGTGGGACAGAGGTCTAAGCAGCAGAAGGCCAATGGCAGGGTGGCCGACAAAGACCCGATAGCCCTGCCTTGTGAAGAGCGGTTGGGCTATGGAGTCATTCGTTCAAGGCTTGAGGGCTGATGTTCAGAGTCGAAGCATGTCCATACATTGCAGCTGCTGCACTGCTCTTGTGGCTGCTCCCTTACATGTTCCCAAATGGCAGGTCGTGTCAGTATGGTAGACAGGCAGTATGATACCAGGGGCGTCAATGAAACCTCCTTCCGCATTAGTGCCTCGCTGGGCTCTGCGCTTGGTAGATTGAGACTTGTATCCGCGATTCACGCGGCTGCCATACTTGCTTCCTGTAGACGGTATGGTACATATTCAGAAACCAACGCTTCATTGAAATAAAAGATGGCATTATCCGGAGTGTGCCCGTTACGATGACTGTTTCCAGTTTTCGTTGATTCAACCTTCTGACCCATCAATGAAAGCTAGGTAGGTACTTCCCAGGCGGATACGTCTCTGAGCACCGCTGGAGCTAGGCACCAGTGTGTGGACAACAACAACCATTTACTTAGACCAGCAACTCGGTTACAGAACCAGTTAACAAGCTATGGTTGCGCCCCCTTGGTATTGGCTGACATACATATTTCCCGCCACCATAAACAGATTGTAGGCCCGGTCTTTGTGCACCTTGGCACTATGGAGTAATATTAATTGTCAGATATTGCTTCATGAAGAATGCGACTTGAATCGCCGAGTAAATACGTCTAGCCAAGGCCTGCGAGGAACGGGTTCTAGCCCCCGGGTCGTGAGGAGCAGGTTCTGGCCCTCAGGTTGTGTGCTACCGAGCCGTGCTGCAAGTTGTCTTCCATGATAGCTATGGATACGGGCTTCACTACCTCGACTGCAAGGTCTGCTGTGACGTTCCTTTCTTAGAGTTATTGTTGCTTCTCTGAGGGCGAGACCATATCAGACGCTGGCTGAGAGTCAGAGGGCACGGAATGTGTATAAAAGGACCGTGATACCCGCGGATTCTATGACCACGCTCTCCATTCCACAGCCTCATCTCCAGCTCACATCTCTTCACCTCCCTCACCTACCTCTCCCAAGCAGCTTCACGAAAGCCACCGCACCAGCACCATGCAGCTCTCCCAGGTCCTGGCTCTCACCTTCGCAATCACGGCCATGGCCAAGGTCTACAACGACAACAGCCCCATTCCCGACTCGGTGGCGCTCCCCATCGACGCCGTCGTCATGCAAGCCGACGTCTTCGGGACCGCCGTCGACACCGTGAGTGCCAAGCTCCGTCGCAAGGCCCCCCTCCAGGCCCGGGATTTCAGCATCTACGTGTGCGAGCACTCCAACTTTAACGGCGCCTGCCTGGACCTTGGTGGCGTCGCGAGCGGCGTCTGCTGTAAGTCTTCACAAACCGGGTGCAAAAGTAGACAATGATCCAAAGCGGTATGTTATGCGAGAGAGCAGACAATATCAACGGTATCTGGAACGATGTCATCTCGTCCACGGATACTCGGGGCCATACTTGCACCATGTTCGAGCACCACGGCTGCACGGGTGACCAGTCGACCGTCAACGGCAGGGTGAACTGGGGCTACATGAACGACAAGATCAGCTCGTACAGGTGCTTCGACTAAATTGCGGATTATGGCCTTGAGGTAGAGAGGTTGTCTCTTGAGATTCCAGACTGGAATTAGCTAGTGGCTCATGGCATGACGATGTTATAGGGTTTGTTCGGAAACCGAGGTATCTGCTATTCAACATAAGTAGTTTATGTACCTTGGTTTCTATCAGCTATGCCATGCTTGCATGTAATGAAGCGGTGCTCGGTCACCAGAGAGAAAATCCACCGATTGGACCCTCACTAGTTGCATTATCGCCGTAATTTGGTAACCCCTGAATGCCCTCCATAACCGTGCTTATACAGGACACAGTATGTGGACCATGTCTCTACTGTCTATAAAGCCCAAATTTACCCACGGGCTTGGGCACTCACTCACATCCACACTTTTCAATGCGCTGTGATACACGGCCTTCCTTGCGGGCGGGGAGTAATTTTCTCGACGTCAGCCAAGTGACGGCCAAGTGACGGCCAAGGGGCGGCCAAGTGTTCGGCGCCGAAGGCCAAGAACCGGGAGGCAGCGACCGGGTGCTGAGGAGCTCTGCCTGCAAGAATGTGTGTTTGGAGTCAAGTAAGGTATGTTGAAAGCACTGATGTTCTCACGATAGTGGCTCGAACGGGCGGGAAGAGCTAAAAGAGGTCGAGACCAGTCGGACAACCAGAAGGATCAAAAAGGCCTGCAATCGAGAAGTCCGACCCATATCCCCGGGTTTTACAAGTATAAGGTACATACCTAGGTAGATATGGACCAAACGTCAAAAATGGGGGCCACTTCCACACAAAAGTGCGGTGTGCGACGGCCACGAGAGCACGTACATGACCCGCAACCACTCGCCGGTTTCTAGCAGCAGGGTAACGTTGTAGTACAGGATCCTCACTACGAACCTTTGCAGGGTGCAGTGCACCTCGGACTGCACCCCTGACTCGATACCCGCCGGGTGGAGATTCCTCACTACCAGACGACACAGACAGATCCCGGGATGCGCACCTGGCCGCACAATCAACCTTGGTTCAACCCCAGACTTGGAGGATCCTGGATTGGGGTTGTTACCGCTCTCCACCTTGATAGCCTGTAAATCCCTGGGACTCCCTTCCACCTACCCCTTGTGGGGAGTTCGGTGGACCAGCCAAGAGAGACCGCTGGGGACGCCGAGCGCTCACTCATCACGCCCCGTTGAAAGCCGATGCCGTGGGCGCTGTGATGGCCGCTGCGATGGCCATATGCTGCAGGGTTACACGCGCGGCATGCCGTGTTCAAGAACGCTTCTTAACCCGGGCCAAACCCAGCAGGACGCACGCCTTGATTTCCCCCGTTCCTCTTTCATCGGACGAACCTCCGTGTCTGGTGAACTCTTTCAAGTAACATCACCGCCATCGTCTTAATTCGCCTCTCGCCCGAAAGAATAGGAACTGCCTATTTCCCGCAGCCATGGCCGACAGCGGCAGCTCGGATAGTATCCAAGCGGGCAATGATAAGTCGTACGGACCACCCCCAGAACCCAAGATATGCCCCAACTAACACCGGCTTGCAGCAACCCCAAGGGCGTCGCCGGAGTCCCTCTCGAGAAGGGTGTCTCTCACACAGAACATGTTGACCTCAACCGGAACCTCGAAGCCAGGTGAGCCGACTCAGCCGGAAAGGATTTAAGTTGCTAAACTCACATGCCACTCCCACGTCTAGGATCAAGAACCCCTTGGAGGGCATTCCGCGAGATGAGCTGATGAATCGGGTCGAGGTCTTCGCTCAAGAAAAGGGTCTCACCGAGCATGTTGCTCTGCTACGCCAGGGCGCCCTTGTGGCACAGGACCCCAACAACTACGAAGAGATTGACGGCGCCGAGGCTCTGGATGACACAGCCAAGGCGGCCCTCGTCAAGGAAGTCGAACACAAGTGGCATCTGCCGCCCAAGCTCTTCCTCACCATCATCACCTGCTCCATCGGCGCCGCCGTCCAGGGATGGGACCAGACCGGCACCAACGGCGCCAACATCTTCTTCCCGGCCTTCTACCACCTCGACCCGGACACCACGCGCGGCACACTCTTGATCGGCCTCTTGAACGCCGGCCCCTACATCGGCAGCGCGTTCATCGGCTGCTGGCTCTCGGACCCCGTCAACAACCTCTGGGGCCGTCGCGGCGTCATCTTCTTCTCGGCTCACTTCTGCATCTGGCCTGTCATCGGCTCCGCGTTCTGCCAGACGTGGCCACAGCAGTTGGCTTGCCGGCTCCTCATGGGGATAGGCATGGGCATCAAGGCGTCGACCGTGCCCATCTACGCCGCCGAGAACTCGCCCGCCGCCATCCGCGGTGCCCTCGTCATGTCATGGCGTGAGTGTAATCCAATTCAGGGTTAAAGATGGAAGCCCAGTCTGCTAACAAGCTCCAGAAATGTGGACCGCATTCGGTATCTTCCTCGGAACCGCCTTTAACCTGGCCGTTTGGAACACGGGACACAACCTCAACTGGCGGCTGATGCTCGGTGAGTGTTTGCAATACATACATGTTCCTACCCGTACTTACGATCAACAACTCTAACACCCCCTCCCAACAGGCGCTCCCTTCCTCCCCGCCGTCCCCCTCCTCATCCTTATCTACATGTGCCCCGAGTCCCCCCGCTGGTACATGAAAAAGAACCGCTACGCCGAAGCGTGGACCTCCATGTCCCAGCTCCGGCACCACCCGCTCCAAGTCGCGCGCGACATCTTCTACATCCACTCCCAACTCGAGCTCGAAACCCGCCTCCTGCACACCAGCACCTACCACCAACGGCTCACCGAGCTCCTCACCATCCCGCGCGTCCGCCGCGCCACCCTCGCCGCCTTCACCGTCATGATCGCCCAACAAATGTGCGGCATCAACATCATCGCCTTCTACAGCACGACCGTGTTCCAAGAGAACGGCGCTTCCGACTTCCAGGCCCTGCTCGCCTCGTTCGGGTTCGGCCTCGTCAACTGGCTCTTCTCCTTCCCCGCCTTCTGGACCATCGACTCGTTCGGCCGGCGCGCCCTGCTGCTCTTCACCTTCCCCCAGATGGTGTGGACGCTGCTGGCGGCGGGGCTGTGCACGCTGATGGAGGAGGGTACGGCGCGCACGGCGCTGGTCGCGCTGTTTGTGTATCTGTTTGCGGTGTTTTACTCGCCCGGCGAGGGGCCCGTGCCGTTTACGTATAGTGCCGAGGTGTTTCCGCTGTCGCATCGGGAGATTGGCATGGGGTTTGCGGTGGCGACGTGTTTGTTTTGGGCGGCCGTGCTGGGCATGACGTTTCCGTTTTTGTTGAAGGAGGCGAGTGTGGTGGGTGCGTTTGGCGTGTATGCGGGGTTTAATTTGGTGGCGTTGGTGATGATCTTCTTTTGGGTGCCCGAGACGAAGCAGCGGACTTTGGAGGAGCTGGATTATGTGTTTGCGGTGCCGACGAGGCGGTTTGGCGCGTATCAGTTGACCGAGGCCCTGCCGTGGTTTGTGAAGCGTTGGGTGTTTTGGCAGAGCGGGGCTGAGTTGAGGCCGCTGTATCAGTTCGATCAGCAGGAGAAGAGGGCGGCGGGGGGAACGGAGAAGGGGGTTGTGGGTGGGGTTGAGGGGGATGTTGAGGAGAAGAAGGCTGAACAGTGATGGGGTTTGGGTTTGGGTGTGTGACGGATGGTGGTGGAAATGGAGGAAGGGGTTGGTGGGTGGCTGTCGAGATTCATTATCCCGCTGTTGGCTAGATTGCTGTTTTTCTTTCGTCTAGGCCTACGAGCTTCCCTCTAAGTGTGGCCTGGGAATATTACGAGGATTTGACCATGTCGTTCTCAGCTTGTGTTATTTCTCAGGCGTGTTTGTGAAGCGGCGTGTTTAGTGAAGTTGTCTAGAGCTGGCCATGATGGGGGATACTACTAGACATGAGTCGTGCCTTAATGGAAGGTACCTTAGTGTTAATGTCGGGCCTGTGTTTGTGCAATTTACACCTGTTGCCTCGGGGGTGTACCCACGGTGTGAAGCGGTTTATGGGATATTGGGAGTGACTCCCAATGATTGGGATTCATTGTCCATGATATAAGATGCTAGACATGGGCGATGCCTCACCAATACCCAGTGGAAATTGAATGGCATATTAGGTCTTTACTCGGCGTTGTTTCTTCTGGCTGGCAACGGGCCTTGGCTACTCTCTTCTTTCGGCCCCCTACTGCCTCCGATATACTAAGTCCGGAATTTGAAATAAAGCAAGTTTTCAGTCTGCTTGGCCCCCGTCTACCGGCCGTTACTATTGGGGATTACCTTCTTGCCTGTTTTGTGTGTGGCGCAGTGCGCGGTGACGTGGTTGACTGCGCTTCTACCGCTCTGTTCCAAGGGGAAGAGAGAGTCGGCAGGATTGCATTCTTTTCTTTCCTCTTTCAGTTCATTCCTCGGTTTTTGGATTGTTTGGATCATTTCTATGCTTGGACTTTTCCTCGGCTCCAGGTGAAAACGTACTCAGGTTACACCACGACATCGACAACAGACTGCTGGGCCTGATGAACAACTGGACCTGTTCTGCCGTGGCCGTATGAGATATCGCCTGGCTCGTAAAGCTTCGAATTACCTAAGCCTCTGTTTGGAATCAACCGTACGTATTTGGTTAGCAGTCTGATGCCAATGTCTTTCGGTACGTACCCTGCCATCCACTCATCCTTGCTCCGGCAAGGTGTGTTACTCAGCCCATGGTGCAAAAACACCAATAGCGAGACCGAACTTCGCACCCCTGGCAGACCATCACGGTTGCCTGGTCCGATCTGCCTGATTAGCTTGCTTGAATAGGAGAGAATAATCGAAGGGCAACAACAACTGGGGCTAAGGTAGAGCGGTTCAGAATGTGTCTTGATGTCTTTGGTCGTCACCACATTCCCGGGGTGATCGAGGCGAGGGCTCAGATCCGAAGATTGGCGACCACGATGATGATTTTGGAATTTGCAAGCGAGGCTGAGTCGAGGTTGGGTCTCGACTTGGTTACTGCTCGGAGAGGTGATGAACTCCGGGAAATGTATAAGTTGATTCTCTCAGCCGCCTCTCTTGGTGCGAATAACACCAGTCTTCAGATCTCTTCGTTTTCTGGACGCGCGTTGCTCGTAGCCAGCCGGACACTGATACCATCATCAACATGCTGCGCTTTCTCACCCCCTTCCTCCTCGGCCTCGCTGCAACAACAGCAGCCGCCACGACCACGACCACCACCACCACCACAACCAAACCATCCTGCGCCAATATCCCCACCCCCATCATCCCCGGCCTCATCATCCTCTCCCTCACCTCCACCGAACTCCTCAACCACACCGTCCCCGCCACCCCGCCCTTCCTCAACACCCCCGTCACCAACCTCAACGTCTGCGCCGTCACCGTAACCCTCACCCACCCCGGCGCCAACGACACCGTCAACATCCACATCTGGCTGCCCCTCTCCCCCCACATCTGGAACACCCGCTTCATCGCCCTCGGCGGCAGCGCCTGGGCGGCCGGGCATGGCCCCCTTTCCATCGCGCCCTACGCGGCGCGGGGCTTCGCCGCGGCCGCCACCGACGCCGGCCTGCCCGGCGACCTGGCCAGCGTCTCGACGCCCGCCGCCTGGGCGCTCAGCGGCGCCGATGGCACCGTCAACACGGCGCTGCTGACGAATTTCGCGGCGCGGTCGGTGCATGATCTGGCGGTGGTGGGTAAGGCGGTGGTGAGGGGGTTTTATGGTGGGGAGGGGGCAAGGTTTGCGTATTGGGAGGGGTGTTCGACGGGGGGGAGGCAGGGGTTGGTGGCGGCGCAGAGGTGGGGGGCGGATTTTTGATGGTGTGTTGGTGGGCGCGCCAGCGGTGTATTGGACGCGGTATGTGGTGGCGGAGCTGTGGCCGCAGGTGGTGATGGGGGAGGTGGGGTATTTTCCCGAGGGGTGCGAGTTGGAGGCGGTGAGGGCGGATGTGGTGGAGGTGTGTGATGGGTTGGATGGGGTGAGGGATCAGGTGGTGGGGGATGTGGTGGGTTGTGGGTCGAGGTATGATCCGGGGAGACTGTTGGGGAGGAAGGTGAAGTGTGGCGATAGGGAGGTGGTGGCTACGTCAAAGCTGGTGGAGGTGGTGAAGAAGATCTGGGATGGGCCGAAGACGGCGTCGGGATCGCCGCTGTGGTATGGCCTTCCCGTCGACGCGCCTCTTACCACTCTGGCCGAGACACAGGATGTCAACGGCACGCACCGTACCGGCGCCCCCTTCTTTGTCGCCAGCGACTGGGTGAAGTACTTCGTCAAAGCTGATCCTAGCTTTGATCTGTCGGTCCTCAGCTCCACTACGCTGCGCGAGGTGTTTGACGAGTCGGTGAGTAAATTCGCCAGCGTTATCGACTCGTCGGACCCAGACCTCTCGGGTTTCCGCAACGCCGGCGGCAAGCTCCTAGTGTGGCACGGCGGGGCCGACAACATCATCTTCCCGCAGGACTCGATCCGCTACCACAGCGAGGTGAAGAAGAAGATGCGCCTCAGCCAGCGGCGCGTCGACGACTTCTTTCGGCTGTTTATCGCGCCGGGCGTGGACCACTGCGCGCAGGGCTCGATCGATGGGGCTGGGCCGACAGATGCGTTGGGGTCGTTGATGGAATGGGTCGAGAAGGGGCGGGCGCCGGGCGAGCTTGCTGCTGCGACGCTGGATACGGCGAAGACGCGCTTTACGCGGAAGCTGTGCCCCTATCCGTTGGTTGCGAGGTATGACGGTCGGGGTGATCCGAGTGTGGCTGAAAGCTATCGCTGTGCGAAGGGGTTTGGAAGTTCATGTTCGTGAGAATTGAAGGTTTTGCAATAGTTAAGACATATTGAAGGTGTTGGATGTGGGAACGTATTGTTATAGTGTGGTAGAAAGAAATACGCAATAAACAACATCCAAGTGTTTTACGGATGTAAACAAAAAGCTCGCTACCAAGCCCCATTCCCCGGTGGAATGGAGGTTGGTGGTTACGAAAACTCTTTTTTTAGAGTTTTGCGCCGCGAGGGGGAGTCGAACCGGTCCTCTTTTGATTGGTGTCCAATCGGTCCTCCTCCCAATACCGCTGAGCCAAACCGGTGTTTGATTCAATTGGGAGGAGGCGGTGACAGTGGTCGTGCGGGAACTTGTGTATATGGTGCGGGCAGGAAGGAGCGCGTATGTGGTGGCAAGGAGTTGGGATGAAAAGGGGTGTCGCGGTGGAAAAGGGGAGCCTGGCTGGAGTCAACATAGCAATAGAGACCCCCCACTTACAATGTCGATTACTATAAAGAGCTTGTAGCTCCTGAGATGGTACTACCGGGCTTAGCTTCCTCATAGAAGTGTGAATTAGAACCTTTAAATGTAACTGCCAAGCTTCCAACAAAAGAACGAAGCAGTATGTCCCTCCCGGCCTCTCGATATTTGTGTATCCATGACATATCATCGAGCAACCACTTCCCATCTCAATGCTTCCGCAATATCCCTTCTCAAGTCCTCGCACCGCCGTTGCAGGCCCCGAAGGTAGTCAAACCCCGAGCTTGCTGAACCCCAGCCCCCTACTTCACCCTCAAACCGCCTTCACAACGCCCTCCTTCGCCAACAACGGCTCCCCCTTCCCCTCCTCCTCCCCCACCCCCTTCATCAACCGCATCCTCACACACACACACACCAACGCCACCATCGCCGCCCCCACCCCACCCCAACTATCTGTCCTCTAGTGATTTCCGCAAAGAGGAGCAGGCAAGGCGATCATAACCGATTCGCTTTCGCTATTTGACGCCGCTGTGCTGCCAACAATCTTCAGTCCGACGTAGCTGAGTTCTGTGGAAAGCCAGCTCACAGGCCGCCGAGCGCTACTGGAGCGTGACAAATTTTCTAGTCTCCGGGCCTGGCTGAGTACCTCGATAGAAATCAGAGGCAATTAGGGCCTTTTGAGATAAAAGATCGCAAACAGGCGACAACTAGCATCGAGCCTCGCCGGAAGGTTGTGCGACATGCATCGCCCTGGCCTCATCCACGGGGAAATGCCCTAGCGGAGCTCTGCCCCATGAGAAGAGTAAATATTGTCCCTACCTCATTATC